AGCTGTGCTGCAGTGGTTTGTATCATATCTATCTAATAGACTCCAGTTTGTGCATGTAAATGGAGAGTCCTCTTCACACACTGAGGTTAATTATGGAGTTCCACAGGGTTCAGTGCTAGGACCAATTCTGTTTACATTATACATGCTTCCCTTAGGCAGTATCATTAGAAGACATAGCATACATTTTCACTGCTATGCAGATGACACCCAGCTCTATCTGTCCATGAAGCCAGATAACACACACCAATTAGTTAAACTGCAGGAATGTCTTAAAGACATAAAGACCTGGATGGCCGCTAACTTTCTGCTTCTTAATTCAGATAAAACTGAGGTTATTGTACTCGGCCCTGAAAATCTTAGAAATATGGTATCTAACCAGATTCTTACTCTGGATGGCATTACCTTGGCCTCCAGTAACGCTGTGAGGAACCTTGGAGTCATTTTTGACCAGGACATGTCCTTCAACGCACATATTAAACAAATATGTAAGACTGCTTTCTTCCATTTGCGCAACATCTCTAAAATTAGAAATATCCTGTCTCAGAGTGACGCTGAAAAACTAGTTCATGCATTTATTACTTCCAGGCTGGACGACTGTAATTCATTATTATCAGGATGTCCAAAAAACTCGCTGAAAAGCCTTCAGCTGATCCAAAATGCTGCAGCAAGAGTCCTGACAGGGACTAGAAAGAGAGAGCATATTTCTCCTGTTTTGGCTTCCTGTTAAATCCAGAATTGAATTCAAAATCCTGCTCCTCACATACAAGGTCTTAAATAATCAGGCCCCATCTTATCTTAATGACCTTGTAGTACCATATCACCCTATTAGAGCACTTCGCTCTCGCTCTGCAGGCCTACTTGTTGTTCCTAGAGTATTTAAAAGTAGAATGGGAGGCAGAGCCTTCAGTTTTCAGGCCCCTCTTCTGTGGAACCAGCTTCCAGTTTGGATTCAGGAGACAGACACTATCTCTACTTTTAAGATTAGGCTTCAAACTTTCCTTTTTGCTAAAGCATATAGTTAGGTGCAGTGACTTATGTATTATGCTGGGCAGACACTGTGCGATTTTTTTCAGTCGCGCGATTCAGCTCCTGCTCAAACTGTACGATTGACTCGCAGGGGTTAGAAGTTCATAGGTCACGATGCAGGGTCTCACACTATACGGCCCGATGCTCTGATGCGACCTGAGTGCTCACACTGTGCCTCCATAAAATGAAGGTTATAACAGAAAATCTGTCGCTCGCTCTCCTCTCTGTCTTTCACTCACACAGACACACCACCACCATCAACTTTGCTAAATTGCTAATGAAAAACATGATCAGGCAGCTGTGATTGAGCAGCAATGTAAATCCAACTATTTTCACGGTTGTTGTGGTCGTGATAATTTTGTGAGGCCACATCGAAAAGGCTCGGATGAGCTTTCCAAAGTTCTACAAGTTGTGCCTCCATCGCTTGTGTGCAGATCATACGCTGTACTGCCGTGCTGCTCCGTCTTTTTCGCTGACATTTGTGTTTGCGCGCGTGCAAAGCGAGCTTTAGTTACAACTGTATTATTGCCAAAATCTGTCTTAGTTTACTAAGAATATTCCAATTTCCACTGGCTGACATTCACAGGTCCCTGCATCACTGACTAATCTGCTTTTACAAGCTTCTTTTTTTTTTCTTCCACGTACAGACTGTGTTTCATCAGTGCATTATTCATTATACCACTGAATAGAGAGGCTGTGGTTTAGCTAACAATGAAAAAAGATACAGTGTGGCCTTTGTGGCAGCTCTATTAGAGGATGGTAAAATAAATAAAGCACAGTAATGACCTGTAATTGGATTTGTCAACCTGATTTGAAAAGAAAAGCCATGATTTCCATAAAACATTTTGCAAAATCAGTTATCACTCATCCATTTATCTACAGACACAAGCTAATTTCCGCCTCGCTTTCTATTTAAAATCCTTTATTTATCAATCCTTAACTTTTCGGGGGGGCCCTGATTATTTTGAATGATTCTTTTGATATAGTCAGTCTACTTGTTCTAGACTCCAGGAAGGTAATCCCACTTTGTGTTTGTGTGCACGCTCGTCCATAACAGAGAAAGTGGAGCCACATCCAAATGTTTACCACATCAATTTATAATAACTTAAAAGGAACAGATGCTGTCATATAACAAAGTGTAGCTTTAATAAATATAGCTGCTATAGAGTCAGACCAAAACAAAGTTCATCAGTCAGTTAATCAATAAAGAATTTAATGCTCTCTTCAGCCAAACTGTACTTCAGGTCAAGGTCACATTTTTTGTTTTACGGTCAATAACCTGTGAATTGTGATGGATCATGAACCAGATGATCTAGTCTGGTGGCTGCAAATAGTGATGAACATTTTGATCAAAACATTGGACACTGTTTATAGTTAAAGTTATAAAGATGCTCATAGCTCCAAACCCTAAGCCCTCACTGTTAATTACCTACATACAGTTGGATACTGCTGCAAGTGATTGCACTGGATGAACAAAAAAGCACCCTGCGTCATATGTCTCCAGTTAAAATCTCTTCCCACATATATACTGTAATGATATTATTTACGCAGTATATCATTTTGAAGTCATGAGTGTAATCCCTGTGTTGTCCCTGTCTTCTCTAGTTGTCTATATTTGAGTGATCTATTCTGTATAAATAACTATCCAAGTCACTTGAGGAGAGTATAAATTGACTATAAAATCTTTTGAAGATCAAAGAAAACGTATCAACTGATACAATCCTTTTTCTTATCTCTACAGGCAGTCCTGGCCCACCAGAGTGGATATGCACCAGGATATTGAGGACAGTTTAGCAGCTTCGTCCATCTCTCACGCAGGAGGCCCTCAGTCCCCTGCTCGCAGTGCTGAGAACCTGCTCAATGGACATCGCTCTAAAGCCATGATGGAGCTGGGCAGACGGGAAGAGAGCACGGTGACTGACTCTCCGGGGTCGGCACAGGTACACTCATCATCATCCCTTGTCTGTATCAAATGAAGCTTTTTTTTAATACATCAAATGCAGCGCTAGTAGGACCATCTGAGAGTAAATAAGATTGTTATTGCCTCTGTAGTAAGTTGTTCTATTTGTGTGTGTGGTTCTTTTCTGGGTCCTCAAACTTTACACATGGGTAAAGCCTAAAGGCAGGGACAGCAGCAGTGAGAGTCATTTTCAGAACAGAGCACACTTCGCAGCTACTTTCAGTTGTAAACAGTGCAGCTGATCATACTTGCACCCTGTTTTAATGCCCATGCTCTTGTATTTTCTTCTTGCCTCAGGGAGCGTGTGCTGCTGCTTCAGGTCCTGCTCCTGGCACCATCAGGACTCCCACTCCCTCCACCTCAGCAGCAGCTAAGCAGCGAACCTGCCTGTTCAGGTCTGATCTCTGGACTTTTCAACAGTGTAACATTATTTTGTGTCCTCAGTATCCCTAAAACTGAAAGCAGAACAATAAGTTGTACTCTATTTCAATGTGTGCATTTCGTAGCTTCTTAAATGTTCAGGCTAAATTTCTTTGTATTATGTCAGAAATTGAATTTTTGAGCTTTTATTCAGAAACTAGACAAAATGAGGCATCTGAAAATGGCGGCTGTAATAGTCCCGTCCCCCCTGTAGTCTAACAGAGCAAATGATCCATCGAGCAACTGATGATAAAACAGAGGATCGAGTTTTCTGTCATTGCTTTGCTTTGTAATGTCAACTCAGTCATGTCTGATTGTTTGGCAGAGTGGAGGAGGATGAAGAGGAGGAGGAAGAGCAGGACCCGTCTCCCCTACCAACTCAGGTGATCCTGCGGCGGAAGCCCCCCTCCATCACCAACCGCCTTACGTCCAGGAAGAGTGCCCCAGTGCTCAACCAGATCTTTGAAGAGGAGGGAGAGTCCGACGATGACTTCGACATGGATGAGGGTCTGCCGCCCAAACTCAGCCGTCTCAAAATGAACATGGCCGGGAACGCCGGCACTCTGAGCTCGTCGTCGTCCCCGGGATCCACGCAGAAGCGCTATCATCGGCGCAAGAGTCAGGGAAGGGGATCGTCATGCTCGAGCTCTGAGACGAGCGATGATGACTCCGAGAGCCACCGGAGGCGCCTGGATAAAGACTCAGGCTTCAGCTACAGCTGGAACAGGAGGGACAGCAGTGAAGGGCCACCTGGCAGCGAGGGGGGGAACGGTGGAGGCAGCAGCTCAGGGCAGGGGAAGCCCCCCACTGAGGGAGGAGGGTCCTCTGGCCCAGACAGGGGGAGTCCTGGAGCGGGAGGTAACGGAGGAGGACAGAGTGGCAGTGGAGGAGGGGGGAGTGGGGGAGGAGGAGGGGGTAATAAAGGACAAGACAGCCCTTCCAGTTGTTGTAACAACAGTAGCACTACTAACCCGTCCCTTGGCTCTCAGCCCCGGGCCTCGCGCACTGCAAGCCGCAGCGCTGAGCTGGTGGAGAGTCTCAAGCTGATGAGCTTGTGCCTCAGCTCACAGCTGCAGCACCACCACGCTGGGAGAGGTGGTCGAGGGGGTGGGGGGAAATTCATCATAGACCCCCATAGCCTCTCAGGAGGGAGTGTGAAAATCCAGGAGAAGTCCACCTGGAGGATGTGCATCGGGTCCACCGGGAGCCTGGACACCATCACCCTCCCCACCACCACTATCACCGGCCTGCCTCGCACCCATGCCCCACAACACCATCACAACCGCAAAACCGTGCCGCACAGCGGCCCGGGTGGCAGGAACACTCATGGCAACCTGAGCACCCTGAAGAACAGCGTGATTCAACTACCTCTGTGCGAGAAGACCATCTCTGTCAACATCCAGCGAGGTGGAGGCTCCAGGGATGGCCTGCTCTGTACCTCAGCTCCAGCCAGCTGCTGCCAGGTCATCTGAAGCTCGCTGTGGACCATGACCCACCGACACCAAGTTTTCTCAGTCACTCTTCCCCTCCTGCTTCAGGTAGTTTCGTTGAACACTACTCTGCTTTTGAACCTTCCTGTCTAGTTTGCTGTAGCAGGTAGCTGAGCTCCCACAACCACCTGCCTCTCAGCTCACCACCTCTCCTGTCACTTTTTGTTCCGTGCCCTGCTCCCTACCAATTGTTGGTGGTTATAAATGTCTATTAGCTGTGCAAGTCCTGCTTTAGCAGGTGAAAATGATTGTTAATATGCATGATTTTTGCTGTGAGTACTTTATTGTACTCTGTGTTTTATTTATATTGTTCTCCTTGCTGCTGGTTGTACTATGCATTTAAATTTGATTGTATAGTATTAGAAGTGTGAGTGTAATAAAGCGAACGCGATATAGCTATTTTATGGTGCTGGATATGCTTGTGCTGGAATACCATTTCAGGCTCTTTTTGTGAATATTGTTAATCTATTTTTATGTTCAACTCGAGACAGGTGATTCTTAGTTATAATAGAGTTGTGCATAATTTGGTCTATTTGAGTCATTGATTAAAGATACTAATATAAGGTTTGAAATGTAATCTAAATATATATCTTTGTGTATTACACACTGCATATGATAATTAAAATATAAAGAGTAGATCTTTTACATATCCCTTTGTATTTAGATACTTTGTGGTGATAATGAATGGATTAAGTGCTTATAGCGATAAACTGGTTTCTCGAAGCAGACTTTTTGTGGCTTGAAAGTAAAATAGGTTCTACTTGAATGGCAGACGTAATACTTGAGCGGTCTCATCTATAGGTCGAAGGTTTGTTTTAGAGAAAAGTTCTTTATGTGTGAGATGGTGATAATTTTATAAAAAATGATAAAGTGGACGACTCTCACTTACTTTTGAAAACGTAGGTGTATAATTGTAATTTACAAAGATCAAAGTGTTAATAGTGGAAATACCAAGAGGTAAAATTGTAATTTTACAAACCTGTACATATAAAAGTTGTAACTGTATGACAAATTTGGGAAGAAAAAGTGATTGTAGTCTGAGATAAAGTTTAGATTTTCTAGGAGAAGGTCATTATTATAATTATATTCCTGAAAACATATTACAAAATCTTTCATCTTTGTCAACCAAAGAATGAAAGATGGTTGATATAGACAAAGTTGAATTTCTTAACATTTTTGGCTCACTATTTCTAACAAAAATCCACAATAATATCAGAAATAGGTGATAATAAATATCAGCTGGAGCTGTTAAGAAGTAATACTAACAGATGGGTAAATGGAACAATGAAATAACCTATTTACAGTCAGCATGCAGCAAATGTACAGGTGCTAAAACAAACTTGTATACATTTGATTCATCCACTGTGACAAGAAGGTAAATCATTCTTTACAAAGGTCTTAAATAACTGATGTGCAGTTTAGTTTAGTCTGGAAGTCAGAAATTTTGAGTGGCGTTGCAGCTTTCAGGAAGATGTTCTTGGAAAACGTACTGCTTTTACACAACTCAAGGCTACAGTGACAGTTTGGTTTACATTACCACTTTCATGGGACCAGCTCACTCAGAATGGTTGATCAGTCTCATATAAGTACTTCAAGTAAAACAACATTTAAAAAGGTTTACTGAATGTAGTAGAAATTTTCAGCTGTTTTTCATTTGAGTGGGGGGGAAAAGCGCCTCATTTTTCATGGGGTCTAAAATGAGCACAGCGTACACCTGTGGGTGTGGGAGGGGCTACTGGAAATAATTCATCAATGATGGCAGATTTCCAGATTTAATTGATTTTCAGTAACAACTCCAATTTGTGCTAACTGTGCTGCTAACAGCTGATTCTTAAAAGTAATTTAGTTCAAGTGTTGACCGATTGGGTTCACATTCACAAGACTGAGACACCGAAAAAGAAAAAAACTAAACAAAACTTCTCCATGTCAGCAACAGATTTTATAATCCCAGCAGACCCCCTGATGTGAATTTAAGAGGACATCAGAGCAACATGAAGTGGTTACAGCAGGCTCAAAGTGTTTAACACAGTTGTCAATACTAATTATTTTAAAGAGCTGAAATATATTTTTTGGCCTTTTTAAAGAGTAACTTCTTTCTCCTTTGACCTTGTAAAATACTTAATTTCTTCTTGAAATGGCAATTTTTGACTTCATGGGGGTTTTTCACTTGTAATATTTTGATCCTTTTCCTTGTAAAATTAAAACTTTAGTCTCATAACTTTTTCCGATTCCCATCAAATCAAAGCTTCTTTCTCAAAGTATCAGTGGTCCAAACACTCCAGGTGTAAAAATCGAAATAACAAGCACTTGTAGTTGCAGCTGTAGCGGGCAGCTGGCAGAGGAGAGGGACGGGGACGCCTGCTTATTGATACAACTCAAACTCACACTTCTCCCTCCTTTACGTCGAACCTTCGCTCCCCTCTGAACCTTAGCTGCCAGTGACATCGCTGATGATAAATAGAAAAACATAAAGTGGATTCCATTCGTTTGAGTCCGTTCAGCGTATCTGACCTCCTCTGTCCATGGAGGCGAGAGGAGATGGTGACTTTTCACTCCACTCTGGGCTCTGTATTGCACTCAGACAATCTGTTTTCTGTTCTTTTTTAAGAACCATGTATCCTCTGCTGAATTGAGCTCGGTGCAAACTGTTGGTCATAACCCTTTAAATCTGTACCAGTGTCTCTTTACAGAGGCGGCACGCTTTCAGCTTTTAAATAACACACACACAGAAGCTGGTGGGAAGAAGTGTGTGTGTGTGTGTGTGTGTGTGTGTGTGTGAGGGCAGCATTGCATTGATACTGTAGCAAGATGAACAAACAGGTTTGGAAGAGTTCCTGCTGACCACACATTCAAAAATGAGGTGTTCTTATTTTTTTATTCACATGATTTTGTGTTGTTTATTGACGGAACATATTGTGTTTGCCTGCCATTAACCCAGCTGCTGCTGCAAGAGACATGCAGCTGCTTAACCCTGAAGAATGATCAGAATTTCTGCAGCAACTCCTCCTAAAACATGCTCCGACGTTCATCTCAGTAACACACACTTCTCGTGCCTTTCTTTTAAACAGAATCTCTCAGCGCAGGCTTGAAAAAAGTAGCTCCTCTGACTATGTTGAACCTCGTTTAGCAAGAACAACCTCCATGTTTCCTAACGCTGTTTCTGATGGTGCCTTCACACCAAAAGCAAAGAAAAATTTCATGCTGGACAAACGTTTCTGCAAAACATCTTCTAGAACTGGCTGTGTTTTCATCACATACCGTGAGGCTTCATATTTCTGTGATGTCAGCATTAAACAGCAGCCTTCTCGCCAAAACACCTCAGGCTAAAATCAGATTTTTTGTTATTATTTTGCCATATCAACCTCATTGTGGACTGCTGCACTGATATTCTCTTCTAAATGTGTAGAAGAGAAAAATACCAACATTTATTTCATACATTAGTAGTGGAATAAAAGTACTTGGTTACATCAGAGCCCTTGTAGATTTAAGTCTTGGCACCTCTTTAATAATCCATTTAATTTGAAGTCCCCATCTGAATTTGCTTTTCCCCAGATATAAAAACCAGTCACCAGGCAAGACAAATAAACACCGCTTTAAAACTTTGGTGACTTCGCCCTGTTACCCTGCAGTTATCTTTGTACTGTGCATGCAGCATGTTTTTCCTATGTAGCTCTAGGCAGATGACCGGCCCTCCTTAGTTTGGTTCAACTGGATGTTTCTTCCTGTTAAAAAGGAAATTTTCCTTCCCACCATCGTTTGTTTGCTCATAGGGAATTAACAGATTGCTGGAGTTTTCTCTCTAATATTGTCGGGTTTTAACAGTATAAAGCAACTTGAGGTGACTGTTAAGATTTATTCATCATGCCCTCTGTAGTGGACAAAAGTTAAACTGAAAGATACTTTCCCCCCCTCGGATATAGATGAAACACAACTTTGTAAATTGTTGCTTGGCTCTATGGGCTTAGGAGCAGAATTCATAACTCTCACATTTCTGTTTCTATATTCTCTGAATGCCGTCACGTTCCTGGATGTCATATCTGGTTACGTTGTAGCTGAATGAGAAATTATCCAAAAAAAGAGAGACTGATGAGAAGAGAGGGGAAAAAACAAACACCTTCATTGCATTATTGTCGTACGTTTCTTCTTCAGGGCATCCAGCAGCCAAAACCATGTTGCTCCCTCCACTGTGCTTCAGTTGGGATGATTTGTTGAATGTCCAAGATGTTTTACACTTTTTTTGTTTTTCGTAAACAGCATCTATCAGTTAAAAGATTTTAATTGCTGACATTGGACACTTTAAACAAAGGTTTTAGTCATTTTAGGTGTGTTTCTGTGTTCGGTTTTGTAGACAGTTTGTCTTAAATGATACATGTCAGTCAGCAAGCTGTGATTGAAGAAAGGGGAAAAACCCCATCGTCAGTTTGTGCCTTTTAATAGGAGCTGCATCTCTACAAACCATACACCGGCTCCATACAGAAACACCTGAAATTACGAGTTTGTGTGTGTTACTTCAGTCACACCGCGTTTGTCTGCAATTGTGACTGAGATGAAAGTCGGAGCACGTTTTGAGGAGTGGGTGCAGAAGTCGTGCTGTTTCTTACGGGTTAATCACTGTTGTCCGCAGCCGTGGGCCTGCCCGCGCTCACGGCCCCCGCCCCCCCCCCCAAAGTTAAGTGTACATGAGGGTGCAGCGTATGTATATACAGTGAAAAAGAAAGTTTATTTTTTCAAAACTTGTACATTTTTTTGAGCAATCTGATGTTTGATGTTTTATTTTTTATGATGGGTGAGCGGGTGTGAAGCTTTGAGAAGCGCGTGCCCTGGGTAAACCGGCAGGAAGCGCGCACGAGACAGAGCCTCGCACCTTCCGGCTTTCGGAGCTGGCTGTAAAGACAAACAAACGAAAGTAAGAGAGAGGAAAGGGAAAATGGGGGAACTCTTTAAGGGCATTGGCAATAAGCTATACCGTGTGTTGCAGCTATCTGTACAGAAACACTTCATTAGTTTCTTTTTTTTTAGATTCCAAACTCGTGCAGCGTCACACAGCAG